CATTTTTTCTCTAGCCTACTGTATTGCAGGAATATAATATATAATACATATAACATACAGTGTGTTAATCAACTGTGTTATCACTAAGGCTGGTAGTCAACAGCAGGCTATTAGTAGTTAAGTTTTTGGGAAATCAAAAGTCATATGCAGATTTTTAGCTGCACAGGGTGTCAGCACCTATAACCCTCTCATTGTTTAAGAGGCAGCTATATACGGGAGGATGTGCATAGGTTATGTGCAAATACTGTGCTGTTTTATATAAGGGACTTGAGTATCTGTGGATCTTGGTATCCTCAGGGGGTCCTGGAGGACAACTGTATGGCACTTGTTTCTCTGTCAAATGAAGCAATGGTTACTTTCAAACCAAGAAAGCTAATAAGCAAAAATATTTTTTCTTAATATTTTCTTCTTCGTTTAGTCACATTATGATTCTTGATCAGACTTTCTTTTGACTAGAAGATGTGATGTGATATTTTTCTTATTCTGTTAAATTTTGGCAGGGAAAAGGGGAGTCTGGTGAGTACCAAAAACTGAACCTGGCCGGGAGTGTGGCAGCTTATGTGGGTATACCCACACTAGATAATGTTCTTAAGGAAAAGCATACTGGAAAAAATCTGCTTTGTTGGCCTTTTGTAAAGGACCTTAATTAGAAGTCACTCTTAACTCCTGGGGTGGGAACAGTTTCCAACTTGCTGCAGCAGCTCCTCCTGCTGCTAATGAGCATGCTCCTTGCAAGGACTTGTTTCTTCTGACAGTTAGAGCTGTGTGTAAGAGTTATTTCTGTTCACCTTTCTCTCCATGTTTAACCCTTACTGGCCAACTTCAGAGTATGCAAGTAGACTGTTAGATGCTTTTTTGTCTTTGCCCAGGAAACTGGCAATGCTTAGAGGTAGCAGGAATGATATTTATGAGCAAAAAGCAAATAATCAAAATTTAATTTATTCAAATATGGACAGTACACTGTTCCTTTAATAGTAATCATGTGTGGATTTTTTTGTTCTGATAGTCTTTTTCTAATTGACATAAAATTTATAATTGAATAGTTGAATTATTTAGTTCATTATTATGTAATTAGAATCCCTGTCCTGGACATCTTGTTTCTCTTATTTAGGCAACTCATCTTATGGCACAAGGTTTCATTAAGTAGTTAGCAGAGGAGATGTAAATTTCCTATGCAGATGATGATAATCCTTTGTTTATTTCATCAGCTTCTAATTAGAACATTAAGTTGACTTGTGAGAAAATGCCAAAGAATGGTTTCCTTCTCTAAGAAATTATATGTAACATAGTCACCTTCCTGAATAGCAGCATGTTGAGGATGGTAACACTTTTGGAAGCTCATTTTCCCTCCCTCTTTGTGGGAGGGCACATTAGAGGGCACCTAATAGACCCTCGACTGAGGGAAGGGTGCGTGGGTACATTCCAGAGCTTAAAGGAGTGCGTCTCTTTATGTCTGGGGACAGTTCTTTGAGTCTAAAAAAATAACACATTCTGTTAGACATTTCATCCATCTTGATTTGGAGTCATCTAAGGCTGCTTTCTGTGGCTCAGACTTTGTATACATGGATGGCTTTACAGATGCCAGGACATTGGCTCTCAGAGGACTGACTAGCGCTCAGTTGTGTTCCTTTAGGTGGCCAGTTCAGTATAGCCAGGAGCTGTGGCAGCATCAGAAACCTCCCTTAGGAACAGCCTTCAGAATACCCCATGCCTACTGCCTAACAAAACAACCTCGATGGTCTTTATATTATTAATGTGAAACGGGTAAAGGAAAATCTCAGCATGAGACCAGCTAGACTTATTCTTTAGTGTTGCTATTGAATGCTTGTTGGTCAGATAAGGTGAGGGGATTAAGAGGAAGAGAAGTCAAGACTGGACAGGCCTCCTAACTTTTGGCAGTCCCATCAAAGTGAATTGCTTGGTGATGATCAGTGATGATTATGATTATGTAGATATGAATTCTGTTTCCCAATCATAGGAATCATACATTAAAAATATTTTCTTAAAAAAATAAGTGGGGGGGGGGAGTATTTTCTTCACCTGTCACTCCCTTGCTTATTTAAAAATAGCTTATGGTCAGCATCACCATGTTGAAATTAAATTGTCTTCTCCTTGCAGCACAGGTTTGCTTTAGAAATGAAGGTGGGTGCTTTGCAGGTAGACAGCACGTTTGGCGATTTGGGACAGATTTATGTGAAAAGATCTTTGAGTGCAAACTCTGCATTTCCAGACACAGTCTCAGTTCTATCAGAGATGTGAATGAAAGAGGCTCAGGGACTGAGTGGTCCTCTTGCACATTAGAGACATGCTGGCATCATGCCAAGTTCCTCCATATTTTAACCATATTAATAATGAAAAGACCTCTTATGTTGACACCTACCCCCTTACAAGAATGCCTCAGATTTAGGACCTGGTCTCCTAACAAACCATTTTTTGTTACGGCTTTTATTCTAGAATTTTCTCTTCTTGTAACCAAAAACTGTATGTATAAATAGGGTTATTAATACAAATGATGCCATTGCTATTTTGTGTAAAAGGACACCCTAGAGAGCATTGTGGTTCATACAAGTTGACTACCTTTTGGCTGGCTGCTTTGTAATGACTTACATTTAGATTGTTGCTTGTTGCTCTTGTAGAAGGGAGAGGGGCCTGACATGTCTGTGGCTGCCTCAGTCGCCACACCAGCTGGGTCTGGGCAGTTTTGCTCTTCAGAGCTGGGAAATAGGCTGAACTTGATCTCAGGCCTTATTTACTTGGTTTGTATTAGGGGAAAATGTCATGTAGGACTGGAAGAATTAAATGAGATGAAAAGTGAAGTTTGCTGTTGCTGAGAATGGTGCGTAGCTTCTGTATGCCCGTGCACAGTGCCATAGGGCTGGGGGACCGCAAACAAACTACCATCACCACTGTCAGGCTAGTGCACAATCTTGAGTGAAGTGCAGCATCTTCCTTACACATAGGGAAGGGAGGTGCGGAAGGTGGGGCAAAGCAGACAGCCTTCACTAAAAAAACCCTACAGACTTTGGCTTCTCACCACAGCACTTTACATAGAAAATCAGGGCTGCCAAGGAGAAGATTCCTTCTTTCAATGAATATTTATTGAGCTGTAGACATGGAGGACACATCAGTGAACAAAGCAGGCTTAATTCCTGCCCTCTTGGAGTTCACATTCTTTTAGGGGATAATGTTAAGGATAAATGCTGTGTGGGAATATAAGGCAGAAAAAGGGAGGAGAAGTGCTAGTGGTGGGGATTAGGTGCTCTAGATAGGATGATCAGGAAAGAAGCCGTCATTGGAAATGTGACTTCGGAGGAAAGACTTTAAAGAACTAAGATTCCGTGTACATCTGAATGAAGAGTGTTCCAGACAAAGGGAACAGAAGGTACAGAGGCCCAATGGGTAGGAGACAATAAGGAAAGGAGGTTAGTACAAATGGGAAGAAAGCAGCAGGAGATGAGAATGAGGGGAAGGCAAATCATGCAGGGCATTTGAGGGTCAAAATAAATACTTAGACTTTTACTCTGGGAAGGTGTGCTATTAGAGGGTTTTGAGCAGGGAGGTAGCATGATCCACTTGTCTGCTATGTGGAGACTAGACTGTAGGGACAAGGAAGTGAGCAGGGAGCCCAGTTTTAAGAGGCTTCTGTTGTACCTAGGCTGTATGATATTAGGTCAGAATGAGGGTGGTGGAGCACTGAGAAGTGGTGGCATCTGGATTATTCTGAAGAAGACCATTTAGGAGATTCCCTTCTAGAGGTGCTTTAGCACAAGCAACTTTGGAACTTGGCAAGAGGTACATCCTCACTCTGCAGTGGCAGCTGTTCCATGAGTAAAGAGCCTCCTGCTGCCCTTTTTTGGGGGAAAGAATCAGCCATTTACAGCCTGCCTGTGACATGAACTTTATTGCATCTTAGTTATTTTTTTAATGCAAGACACAAGTTGTCACACAGTGCACGCCCTCCACCTGCCATTTTGAAGATGGTGTGGCCCCAAGTGCTGCCTCTGTGCCACCCAATGTGGAGGCTCTGGTCAGCTTCCTTGTGGACAAGTAGGGGTGCTCCTTCATTCTGAATCAGGTTGGACTAATACTCAGTATTAGAACCTGGTTCTTACGTGTTTAGAAATAGAAACATGGGTAGTTTTACTAGAAAAGATTATAGATCACCCATCAAACACTGGCTTTGGATATGGAATTATGAAAGCAAAGTGATAGAAAGATATATTAGACACAGCCCTTCTCTAAAGAATTGCAGTCTACTTGAGGACAAGTAAATACCCAAGAAGAGGTAAATAACCAGTACAGGCAGTAAACATCTAGGGCCCACTGAAGGAGTATAAAGACAGGATCCCATTTCCAGCTGAAATGATCTCCTTATGGAAACTAAGTTATTTTTAAAAACAACAACACAGGCCAGGTACAGTGACTTATGCCTGTAATCCCAGTGCTTTGGGAGGGCAAGGTGGGAGGATCATGAGGGGTTGAACACTAGCCTGGGCAGCAACATCGTGAGACCTTGTCTCTGCCAAAAATGAAAAATAAAAAAACCTCAAATTGGCAAGGCATGGAGGTATGCACCTATAGTCCCAGCTACTCAGGAGGCTGAGGTGTGAGACTTGCTTGAGCCTTAGAGGTTGAGGCTGCAGTGAGGTAGGATCATGCCACACTGTACTCCAGCCTGGGCAACAGAGCAAGACCTTAATGCAAAAAAAAACAACAACAAAGAAAACCCAATAACCCAGAACTGTTTTTTGTTGAGCCATCTCCATCCTCCTCTCCAGCTGAAACCTAGCTTGTTAGAAGTCAACAAGAGTAGATGCTTGTCCCAGTTTGTGGAGTGTAAACAAAGCAAGTCAGAACTGACTCTTTTGCTCACATGGGTCCAGTTCCTTCCTGGACAAGGGCTGTACCCTTGGTCATAAGAATGTCTGGCAGTACATTAACCCTCTGCGCTTGCCAGGCCAAGCACTAATCCTGATTCCCAAATGTGTTGTTTTGGTCAGATTCACAGTCTGAGAATGAGGCTTCACCAGTAAAACGGCCAAGACTGCTGGAGAACACTGAACGGTCCGAGGAAACAAACCGATCCAAACAGAAGAGTCGACGTCGGTGCTTCCAGTGCCAAACCAAACTGGAGCTGGTACAGCAGGAATTGGGATCGTGTCGCTGTGGTAAGCATCTCCCCCAGTAGCATGATGGAGACTGTGTTCTTAATATTCTGGCACAACTCTGGAAATTAAAGTCATTCTTCTTCTGAGTACTGTAGGTTTGGGGCTTGAAAAATCAAGAGCATAGGATTCTTGCTTCTAAACATCCTTCATAGCCAGGCACAGTGGCTCATGCCTGTAATCCCAACACTTTGGGAGGTGGAGGCAAGAGGATTGCCTGAGCCCATGGGTTTGAGATCAGCCTGGGCAACTTGGTGAGACCTCGTCTCTACAATAAATTAAAAAATTAGCCAGGCTTGGTGGTGCATGCCTGTAGTTCCAGCTACTTGGAAGGCTGAGGCGAAAGGATCACCTGAACCCAACAGATCAAGGCTGGAGTGGCTGTGAGTGTGCCACTGCACTCCATCCTGGGCGACAGAGTGAGGCACCGACTCAAAAACAAACAAACAAATAAATAAATACATATCTTTCATTTCTTTTCACACATGCATAAAAGACAGAAACATCCCCAATTTGTCTTGCCCTTATTTCCTGAGAGTTCCATTCTCCTTGCTCACTACTTTCAGCTTTTCCCCACCACTTAGGATTCTGGTTCCTTCCCATTCATGACTGTAGAAGTTAACCAAACTAGCAGAATTCTGGAGTGTGTACCATAAAATTCAGATAATAAATTAATTGTAAATGAATTTCTTTCTGTTTACGATAAATGGAAGATTTTGTCTCCATATTCCTTTAAAATTAAGGTTTGACTAGAAAATTATTTTCTTTGCACTTTACTTCATGTAGTCAGTTGATACCTTGAAATAACTTTTCTTTTTTTTTTGAGTTGGAGTCTTACTCTATCGCCCAGGCTGGAGTGTAGTAGCACACTCACGGCCACTCCAGCATCAACCTGCTGGACTCCAGCAATCCTTCCACCTCAGCCTTCCAAGTAGCCAGAACTATAGGTGCTTGCTACCACACGTGGCTAATTTTTGATTTATTGTAGAGACGGGGTCTCATCAAGTTACCCGGGCTGGTCTCAAACCCATGGGCTCGAGCAATCCACTCACCTCGGCTTCCCAAAGTGCTGGGATTACAGGCTGAGCCACCGAGCCCAGCCTGAAATAACTTTAACGTAACATTTCCCTCTATATTCTCAGGTGTAATGCTACTTTTTAGAATTGCTACACAAGGATGTATGTTTTTAAAAACTTCATGCCTACCCACAGCTAATTTCTCTGTTGTTGACCACATATATCATGGAAACATAGGAACAAAATTGTGTAGCTGTATTATTTTAGGCTGATTTACAGTTTTCCTGTCCTTGTTTTATTTCCTGATTTTAATATAATATTGTAAAATTGTTCTGGCAGACTTTGACACTGGCTCTAGCCTCTGAGAATCCTGTATGTTTGGTCCTGAGAAATCAGCTTTAGAAGGTCCTTTCACTTTTGGGATAGCCATGGATCTCCCACAAGTACTGTTGCTGGCAGTCAGGACTAAACAGTTCTATCTGCAGTTATATAGCTGCAGTCACTGAACGTTCTCTATCTTCTAAAGAGGCAGCGTTTGCTACTTCTGATCTTTGGTTATCTGCCCTGTTGGAAATGAGAAGGAAGAGTGTACTAGTTTCTCATGGAAACCAAGTTGAAACTTCTGTTCCTATCCTGACCAGATATCTGCTTGTTACACACTCTAGTGTGTGGTGCTCCACAAGATAAAAAGTGTGTATTCATCTTCACAAATGGACTAGCACGGGGAGTCCAAGGGTCATCAGAGAAGTTTGGGTTGAGGGGTAGCATTTTAGTTATACTATTAAACTTGTGGAAAACTGTAAAGAAGGTTAGGATAAGTGGTAGGAGCAGTGGCTGTCACCAGAATGTTCAGACTTTAATTGTGTTCATGCCTGTGGTAGGGCCCAGGTGAGTCTAGATCAACCCTGCTAGGTAATTTTAAATTCTTGGTGAGGTAGGGCAGGGCTATTGTGGTTAGCCACAGATACTCTGGGGGTCTGATGGCTAACCAACTTTGCCCCATACTGAAGGATCTGTCTAATCTTCTGTAGTCTGCAAATTCTTGCTTTGTTCTTCATGTGGACTCTGGACTTTTAGCAGTTCAGTTTGAAGTGTTGTGAGCCTACTTGGTCATTTTGGCAGTTACTCTCATAGCATAGGCCTTTGGTTGTTCTTAAATTAGAATCATGGGAATTTTCTGTACCTTCTCTTGTTTCTTCTTGAAAGTAACTGAACCCTGGGTATTATACAGGATTTGCCATAGGAGATCAAGCAATTGGGCTATGGAGTATGCTGTCTTGCCCCTGGCAGTGACTAATGCTTCCTCTCCTTGTCAGGCAAGGAGAGAGATTGCACAATTTAGCACTGAGATCTAAAGGTATTGTAACCAAGTCTCCCAGTTTACCCTTCAACTTTGATACAGATCACCTAATTTCCTAAGGTCTAAGGACCCAACTGAAAATAACTGAAGTACACGTTAGATTCATGTTCACCCAAGTAAGATCAATTTGAGTAATCTCTGGTAATCTTGAGTAATTTCTGCCATGCTCTTTGCCCTTGTGGGCAGGAGCCTGAGTTGCTAGGTGCCTATTGGGTTTGCCCCAGGTGTGCGTTCTTTTTAAATGATTTAACACGTTAGTCCCTTGGCTTGTGCCCAATTCTGAGAGTATTATTACAGGGAGATTTGATTTTTCTGTTGGGGAAGAAAGCCCTGAACTTTCTGCCGTCCCTCCACATATAGTCTTCCTAGAGAACTGGAAGTTCAATTTGGCCCACTGAGAGTATTGCATTTATGTGCCCAGAAAAAATGACTTGAGTCAACTGCCACACTCCAAAAGAAGATGAAGGACAGCAGTGGGAAAATGCCATTTAAAAAAAGCCTGGGACGATCTTTGACAAATAGCTAGTGCTTGTGTTCCTCCTGCCTGTCTGCTTTGATCTCTCTAGGAAAGGGCAAGTTGTATAGTAATTTCCTTGAGGATGCATGGAATGTTGGAGAGACATTTAACTGCCCCGAAAGATGTTAGAGGGGGGAAACACAGTAATTTACTACAAAAAGTGAAGACTCAGGAAGGTAGTTTGAACTCAAACAGAATACTTCTTCACTAAAGAAAATCTTTTTATATATATATATATTCACAATCTTTTCTTCCATTTTGTACAGGTTATTAACTGCTGACAAGAAATTCACATCTCATAAATAATGCTTAAGAGTCATTGCTATATAAATTGAATGTGTTATGAATTGTGATGGGCCTTTTTGTAGCATTCAATGCCTGGAGCAGGAAGAACAGAGGATGTCATTTTCATTAATTTCTAATGAGGTGCCAATTAAAGGCAGGGAGGATGCTCCAAAAGGAAGAGTGGCCAAGCTCCCCTGAATCCTCCCCCTGGGGGCTGTCATCCAAACACTGCCAGCGAAGCCTTCTCTAAAAATTCCATTAAATTACAGTCGCATCGACAGCATACACAGACACATTCAGCTTCCCTTTGATCTTCAAAAGAGCAATTTGTAAGGCGAGTTCTGAGCCTTCTCACGTTGGGAACAGCTAGAGGTGATAGGAATTGTTAATTGCCAAGACTCTCCATGGGCTTTCAATAAGGAGGTGAATTTTGAAGAGAAATTCTCCTCTGCCTTGCTGTGACTAGATAACCTTTAAATCAACAATACTAGAGTAACACCCTTTTCCTGTAAAATCTTTCAGAGTGCCAATTAGAAAAGGCATGTGGCAGCAAGGCTGAGATGATATCCTGCATCCTAGAGCATCTTCAACAGTTTAACTTCTCAAGATGGAAAACAATTGCATAAAAATGAATTTATTTGTTTCATTTTCTACTCACTAGGCAAATTGATCAGCTAATTTTCATTGCAGGAGTCTTGTCTCCTGAAATGCCATCTAGAGGATGTTCTTCTGAAATCTGGCCATCTTCACCAAATCTGGGCCACATCACAGCCACGTGAATGCTGTCTTTTCTAAGCAGATCGTGTGTGATACACACAGCTTGACTTTTTTCACTGTGCACTGCTTGCCAGAACCACAGAATTAATTTTTGAGTGCTAGTCTGAGAGCTTGCATAAGTTTTTGCATGTTTTCATTTGATGGTGACTTTACAAATTGTAAGTGGATATGCTCCCTTTGGGGACAGTAGAGCTTTTACTAACCTCCTGAGTAATCTGGCATCCTTTATTTTCAAAATAAGTTTTCTGTTCACTTTAGAAACCCAAAGTGATGCATTAGCTGGGTTCCCTGGGGTAGTTTATCATCTCCAAGTGCCTCAGTGGTCATTTCTGCCTTATCATTCACTGTATAACCAGATTCAGCAAGCACTTTTGAAATGTGACTATGTGCAAAGCATTTTCTTAGGTTGTTGGTGGTTTTTTTGAGTTGGAGTCTCACTCTGTCACCCAGGCTAGAATGCAGTAGCGTGTTCACAGCCACTGCAGCCTTGACCTGCTGGGCTCAGGCGATCCTTCTGCCTCAGCCTTCCAGCTGTATGCTACAATGCCCGGCTAATTTTTTGGTTTATTGTAGAGACGAGGTCTCGCCATGTTGTTCAGGCTGATCTCAAACCCCTGAGTTCAGGCAATTCTCTCGCCTCCACCTCCCAAAGAGTTGGTACTACAGGTGTGAACTACTATGCCCGGCTTGTCAGGTTTTGTGGGGCATATAGGAGTTAGAAATACAGAATCTAGGCCCTCATAACTCTAGGTCAGTAGCTTCAAACTTGAGTGGGCATTAAAATTCACCTGGAAGGTATGTTAAAACAGATTGCTGGTACCCACCCCCAGAGGTTCTGATTCAATAGAACAAGTTTCCAGGTGACACTCTAAGCAGTTCTCAGTCCTAGGAAGCTTTAAAAAAAAAAAAAAAAGAATGGGGCAACTCTCTTGGGTTCCCTTCCACTCTGGGAGCCTTTTTGTTCTCTCAATAAATCCTGTTATCGAAAGAAAAAAAAAAAGAATAACTGGGTCCTACTCCAAACAATTGTCAGAAAAAGTCCCCAGGT